CCCGGCGGCCGCCCCCCCCCCCGAGTCAGGGCCGCCTGCCGCGTCTTCATCGGGAGGCTGAACCCGGCCGCCAGGGAGAAGGATGTGGAGAGGTTCTTCAAGGGATATGGCCGCATCCGGGACATCGATCTGAAGAGGGGGTTTGGGTTTGTGGTGAGTGCCGCCCCTTCGCAGGGCTCTGCGGTCCCTGTCCGCTGGTGGTCACTCGGATCTCATGCGCGTTTGATGTCCACGAAGCTACTTTTAAAGATAATGCCCTTAGCGTGCTCAGCTAAGTATACTGTGTGGCAAACAAGCATTTGTTAATGTCTTAGAGATGTAATTTTTTTACTTTTATGTTTTTGCTGTGGTGGTTTTGCAGGAATTTGAGGATCCGAGGGATGCAGATGATGCTGTCTATGAATTGGATGGAAAAGAGCTTTGCAGTGAGAGGTGGGGTACCTCATTTCATGAATATATAAGCTTAACTATCTAAAATAAGAAGTGTGTCAATTTTAACTTGCATTGTGTTATCAGTACTGTTTAAACTATATTGTGTCTTGTTTGGTTTTTTTTTTCCCCCAATAACTATAACTGTGAAGGACTATGCAAGAAGAAGAACGTAAAAATATGTGGTTTTCCATTTCTTTTTTTTCCCCAGGGTTACAATTGAGCATGCAAGAGCACGCTCTAGGGGTAGAGGCAGAGGGAGGTACTCTGACCGTTTTAGTAGCCGCCGTCCACGTAGTGACAGGAGGTATGTATAGCTTTGGACTGACGTAGTTTAAAAAAAGAATACTGTGGGCTCATCTCATCCAGGAACTTACGCTAGAATGAGATATTAAAAGGTATTATTTGCCTTTTTTAGTCAATCATTTGATGTGGCAGTAGGATAGTGAGGATTACAAAACTTCTCAGATATGCTTGCCATCTTTATGCTCCTTCCCCAAAATACTTAATGCTTGTCCTAGATTACTCGGGGCACTTACATAGTTAAGTTGTAGTAGTAACGGTGGTATGCTGATACTGGTTATTGGTACAGCCTTTGTTAATATTAACATGCGGTTATATTTTAATTACTAATAAAAGTCTCAATTGTTTATTTCCAAACAGAAATGCCCCACCTGTAAGAACAGAAAATCGCCTCATAGTAGAAAATTTGTCTTCCCGAGTCAGCTGGCAGGTTTGTTGAAACACGATTAACTATTTTGACTTCGTTTAATGGGTATGTAATGTAATTATTTTGTAAAATAATTAATTAAAATTAAATCTAATTTATTAAAAAATGTTTATGTAATTAATGTAATTTTAAATAATGTAATTTAAATATTTTGGATGAAAACTAGTTAATTTTAATTTATAATAATAATAAATGTATATATTTGAGGATATATATTTATTTTTTTCTTGTTTTTTAAATCCATTTTAACCACATATTAAACCCTTTATTTGCCAGCCTATCTGTGTCGTTGGCCTTATGACGAGGAGTGCCTGTGGGTTATCCTAATCGTTCTGTCTTGGTCACTCTTGGTTGGGCCTGGTTGACTTTCCAGTCAGCTCCTACAATGTCACTTGGCCACCTCTAGATCTGTGTTTGCCGGTCTAGACGTAATCGATGCACTCCTTAAAGTGCCACATTGCAGCGATCCCAGAGCGTTAACGAGATCTGATTCCTAAGTTGAGAGCTGTTCTTCCTGTAACGCTTCCGAATAAAGAGGTCCTGGTCGAAAAGAGTTGAAAGATACGAAATTAGGTGGTCGTTGGAATCCTGATCGCAGTAAAGTGGTCCTTGGTAACATCAAGCATAGAGAATGTCTGGATCCATCAATAGTCTCCTAATAGGGAGGGCAGTGCGATTAATGGCTTCCATCGACTGGGTAGTGTTCGTCAAGTGGGTGGCGAAGAGCCAGTCGGGCATATGTCATGACGGTATCTCCGGTCGCTTAATGCAGTTTGCTGCTTGGCTAGCCTAGGGAAATGTTAATAAAGGTAAAGTAAACTATATTTTTAATGACATATGGGGCACAAAATAATTGGTGTTATGTAAATGTAATTCTGTATGCATATAAGACTCGTAATGTAAATGGAGACTGAAATAGTACAAAAATATATGGGTAGTATTTCACACTCAGTCCAGTATATATACAAATGTACTTTTTTATTTCTTTCTCTCTCTCTCTCTCTCTCTCTCTCTCTTTTTCTCATTTAATCTATATAATCTTTGTAGACTAATATTTTCCTTAATGTTAAGACACTTTATTAGCATTTTGCTTAAAGCAATATGCTTTTTTCATTTATTTCGTGCCCTGATACTGATAATTGAATTTTGATAGAATACAAGTATGGCAATTGCCATGTTTGTAATTTATCTAACATCTTCTCTTTCAGTAGTCATAAGTTTCTTTTGTTTGTTTTTAACTATTTTTATATAGATAAGTATTAATTTCACTTCTTTGCATAACATAACTGGTCTTGTGTTAGGATCTCAAAGACTTCATGAGACAAGCGGGGGAAGTAACCTTTGCAGATGCACACAGACCTAAGTTAAATGAAGGGTAAGCCTCTCAAATCATCTCTTGAAAGCTGCAGAGTAATGTGTGTATGTATAATATTTGGGGAGGGAAGCTGGCTACTTCCAGTGCTCAGCAGCTGTTCATGGTTTAATTCAGCTACCCTTTGAAAATGCATTCTCTGGTATTTGGGGAGGGGAGTTCTTCAATTCATGTTTGAGTTATGACAAGGGATGACTACACTGAGCAGTGAGAGTTCTTCTGAGTTGGTTTGTTGTTGGTTTTTTTTCCCCAGAGTATGTTTTGCTCTGTCATCAAAATTACAACTTGTAATAGTGAGCTCTGTGCTTTGTTTTTTGTTTTGTTTTGTTTTTTTGGTAGGGTGGTTGAATTCGCCTCTTACAGTGATTTAAAGAATGCTATTGAAAAGCTTTCTGGTAAAGAAATTAATGGAAGGAAAATCAAACTAATTGAAGGCAGCAAAAGGCACAGGTATGGATTTCTAGTCTCTTAAATAATGCTTAAATATTCATTGAGAAAGCTTTGAAGTCAGCGACCAGGCAGCCGAACTGGAGACCCGTTACTGCCTGGTCGTTGTTGTGGTCTGTGACGTTTCATTGCTAACACCGATGCTCTTAGTTTCCTCAGTAGGTCCAGAAGCAGGTCACGGTCTCGTAGCAGAAGCTCATCCAGGTCTCGTAGCCGGTCCCGTTCCCGCAGCCGCAAGTCTTACAGCAGGTCAAGGAGTAGGAGCCGTAGCAAGTCTCGATCAGTTAGTAGATCTCCAGTGCCAGAGAAGAGCCAGAAACGTGGTTCTTCCAGTAGATCTAAATCCCCATCATCTGTGGATCGGCAGAGGTCTAGATCGAGGTCGAGATCTGTTGACAGTGGCAACTGAACTATAAGTAACTTGCCCTGGGGGCCCTTTTTTAAACCATACTTGCTAAAACTTGTGGTAAGTATGTTTCTTTCTGTGGGGAAGGGTTTGGATGGGGAGGGGAAGGGAAGGGTTATTGATTAATTGTATTAAATGTTTTTTGATAACCCTTTTCTTGCTCACATTTTTTTGTGAATGTCTGAAGTGTATAGTTTGTGTATATTGGCAGAGCTCTTTATAACTAAAGCAGACGAAATTTTTTTGTACTCCAAAAAAAGTCATCTGAACACTTAATTCCCAGCATATTCAATGTGAATAGCAACTCAAACACTAGTTTAATATCTCAAATTAAACTAATAGCTTTAGGCATCTAAGAGCTCTACATGTGCTGTACATAAAGCTTTATTTCAGAGGGTATTTTTTTGTGCTTTTGAACCATTGTTTCAGTTATAGGTCAGCAGATTAAGTGCTGGTCAGTACTGGTAATAAAACTTTATTTTAAAAGCTTTTCATTTAATATGACTTGCACTACACTAAGAAAATGGCCGTTTCACTGCCCTGTGGTAATAATATTCTATAAAGCACCCTAATTCTTGATACTTAAGAATTAAATAGCTCAAATAAAGTATAAAGAAACATGTCTCTACTTCTGGTGTGTTCTTGCTGTTAATAAAGTGTTTGTGACCGTGCCTCGTATTGTCGGACAGTCAAAATGTTTCCTAAAGATGGGTCTGCAGCAAGGCTATCGTTGAGTGTTTTGGGTGTGGGGGAGAACTTTCTTTTCAGTACATCACGCTGTGTTCTTGGGTGTCTTTATGTTCTGAAATACAAACCTTGATAATGAGGAGAATCACGCTGTCATAGTTCATAGCGGAAAGCGGAACGGACAAGTCATTCAGGTCTTAATCACTGTTGGGATCATAAGCATGGAACATAAAAGATGGATGTAGTCGGCATACTTCATGAGTGTGTGCATACACGTGTGAGAACATTGAGGTGTGGATAAAGCACTTTTATAGGCATTGGTCCTCGTTCTGGAGGAAGAGGAGGGATTTTTAAGTTGGTGGGTGGGAGTACTGCACCAGTGGCACCCCGCGGTTCTGCGTTCTAGCGTTTGCCTTACAGCAGCAGCAGCCCTCTGCAATCCCTGCGTTTCTCGAGCCCTTGCTCATGTTACAAGAGAGCTTTAGAATTTAATTTTAAAAATAATGTGTTTTCTTATAAAGTGCTTTACAAAGCTACTCCAGTAATCCACTGAAACCTTACAAGATCTCTGAGCCTAGGATGGGCTTTGGATTAGGTCCTAGGAAATGCAAGGTGGTTCTGTTCAGGGCGAGGTCTGGCTTTGGGGGGGGTTAGCCGTTGGGTGTCTCTGCAGGCCTTCCTGCCTTTCCTCCGTACCGCTGCAGAGTTCTCGGGAAAGGTGTTCCAAGCTAACCGACGAGAACAAGCTTCTGTGCCTTGTGAATCTGTCCGTTACGGTGGCACTGCATCAAACTGCTGGGCGCAGGCGGTGAGGGGTGGTCAGACGGATGGGCAGTTAGTGGGGTTATCGCTAGCCAGCTTTGGGGAGTGGGAGCCTTCAGTCTCGGAGGTTAGTAGTTCAGATGCTGGATCATCTTGAGAGGCGCGGAAGAAGAGGGCTTTAGCCTCTAGGGGTAAAGGCAGCATTGAGACTCATCTGGGTGTAAGGTTAGCTGCGTTACCTCAGGTCAGTTGATCCTTCCTGCTTCCTTGACTGATTGTGGGCATCTGTGTTCAAGTGGGACTTCGCTCCAACAGGAGCCCAGGTGGCTGAAGGCACCTGATGATGGCAAAGGGGTGGGATTTCAGACACTTCCCTCCCTCAGGCTAAACGTGAAGCACCGCCTGCTCTATAAGTAGCTGTTTCGAATTCCCTTTCTGAATCACGCCACCTGCCTTGCAAACAGTGTGAATAGATTTCTGCATTTTACGTTTGGTTTAGAACACGCTCCCAGGCTTTGCATTACGGAGGGTTATGCTGACTTCTGGCGAGAAATGCTTCTGCATTTATGAAGCGTAGGTTCTTGGTATGAGCCTCTTTATTCTTAGGTAAGATGTGTTGCTTCAGGTTACAATGCATACTTAGCACACTGGAGGCGTTAATGCCGATGTTTCCCCATACTCATATTTGTAGTGCAACGATAGCTAGACGGTGTCCTGAAGAGGTGGTGTATTTAGTTCACTGACTCCTGCAGAGCAAGGCACGTTCAAGGCTCATGTATTTTCAGAGGTACAGCTTGCTGGACCCAAACTTGTCGTACTAAGGCAGTTTGCATAGCCGTGTTCAGTTTCTGTGGCCTCTGCTGCGTGGAGAGCAGTGGTACGCTGCCCAGTGCTCGGGTTTTGGAAAACGGGAGCGACCAGCAGTCCACGGGCTGCTCAGCTGCACGCTGGGTCTTGGTGGCTCCTGCGCTGAGAAACTTTCACACCTCGTTTTGGGTCTTTGTTAGAAAAATGACATTAATCTTCAGCGATGTCTTTGGGAGCTGCTTCCAGACATGTGCCAGCGGGACAATAACGGGTAAGTGAAATTAAAAAAGGGAACTGATGCAGGCGGTGATTTTTCGTATGGGTAAAACTGGGGGCAGTCGCTTGGGAGCACGGATCTAAACTGTCCCAAAGGGTTGTCACGATGACTTGGAAGTCACTGGAAGTGTCCCTCATGGGCAGGCAGGGAGAGGCATAGTCTGTGGAGCAAGGTCTTCGGGAAATAACAGTGAGGGTGCAGATAGCTCTGTGGTGGTCCGTTTGTCTGGCGTAAAATGAGCATATCGATAAAAGTCTTACACACAACTGCTGGAGACCTGTAAGCCAGCTGCAGAAGGTGAAGTTTGGGGAGGTTGTGATAGTGGCTGGGGCGGGAGCTTTCCTGGTTTCCCACTTTTTCTGCAGGGTCTTGACACTGGTTTCATTTCTTGAGCAGTAGCTGTGTCCGCAGCTGCGCAGATCATCTTTGCTGCATCTGAAGAAAAAGAAAAATGTAGTGAGAATAAGCAGTTCTGAACCCAGGTTATGGAAAGGCTGTGACACAGCTACAGTTGGTGTTGCGGGGTTGTCTAAAGCAAAAGGAAGAAACTTTGAAGTCCTGCCAAAATACTTCAGCCGTGTTGTTTCCAGTCATTTATGAATCAGAGCCCGGAAAGCCACCCTTTTCATAGTAGTCTTGCAAGCACCCGCATGGCTGTACCTAATATCAACTGCTTTGCACTGAAGGCACACCTGAGGATACAAATTGAGTGGGTTTTTTTGCCCATTAACAGTCATCCTTCAGCTACAGCTATAAGATATGGTAAAGTGCTCCTGTAGCAGCTGCTCCTCTGTCCCGAGGGACTGGAGAAAGCTGGTCTGGAAGCATCAGGGGGATGACTGGTGGAGAATCTTTCAGCAGTGCGTTCTCCAGACATCTTCGCAGGCACTTAGCTGGGCTTTGGCATTGTGGACCTGTTGAAGTTGGAGAAGAGTCTACCTCACGTCTATACCGATAACCATATATATATTTTAATTAAGCTTGAATCCATTTATGTACTTTTCTAGCAAAAGACCCACGTTTCCTTCCTTCAGCTGCAGTACTTGACAGTTCTGTCCTTTTCCTCCCCCCCCACTCCAAAAATGACACCCTTCAGTAAATCTCTCAACAGTTTACAGCGAAGCTGGAATTTGTTGCATTAAAGAATATGTGATGTTCTCATGTAGTTTTAGGGATGTGTGTGTGACTGTTCTTTGCATGTGCTTGGTGCAAGTCATAGCTTTTGCAGGATGCTCATCCTAGTTTAAGCACAGGACTCTGAAATCCTCTGAGCACTGATAATATAGATAGTATACAGCTATGCGAAACATTCTACTGATACAAGAAGTCATAATCTCTAATGTCTTCAGTTACCTGTGAATTTTTGACTGCGATTTGTATTTAATGCATTGCATATTAATTGAGTTAAAGGGCAGCCTGATTCTGCCCCTAGAAAGCAGCAATTCACTGGTAATTATATGTAAGCATATGTGGTTTGGATTGGAAAGTGTAAGAAATACAGGAGCAAAGCTGTACTTGCCATTTGGTTTCTTTATTCTGTCATGGATCCTGAAGACCAGGACCAGCAGAAGTCCCTCTCCAAGCTGGAACAGCAAGTAGAGCAGTGGGAAGAAGTACAGGGGGCCAATGATTTCTGGGGCAAAGGCGACCTTGAGGATAGTTGAGCAAAGCTGTACATTCTGGCAGCCAGTTTCCATGCATACTGTCCGCCTGCATCTGAAGGAGGAAAAGTTAAATGGATCACAGATTTAATCCACTTCAAAGAACTTAAAAAGAACCCTGCCCACCTTGCTGTTGCAATGCTTCGTGCATTTGCCTGTGCTAAAAGCTGCTTTATCAGGAGCAATACTGGGATCCCTAGAAGGTTTTGCCTCGTGTTCCCTTTGCAGTGTGCAGACAGATCACGTTATAAATGCGGGCTTTGTGCTTAATGTTATTTGGAGGCCTTGGGTCCCACTCTGGGTGCTGCAGCTTCCTGCAGGAAAGGAATCAGCTTCTGAGGTGAATAGAGGAGTCCAAGGTGTGAAGATAAAAAATAGTGAGGACTAGCGGGCTTCCTACCTGGATTAGGTAGGATGAGAAAGGGAAGGAGTGGGTTTTATATGCAAGGTTTCCATCCTGAATTCCTGGGGCTGCAGCTGAATGCACTGACTGGTTTTGGGTAACTACCAGCTGAGGAACAGTTGTGTCACTTGGGGTTTGGTCTCTGTTGGTATTCCCTAATTCTTTGTTGTTCTTTGGTGCTGTTCATTCTCTTCTTCCCCCAGCCTCATTACTCAGAGCAGAGGCTGGTAATGTATGCTTAGCGGGTCACTAGTGACCTTAAATCAAAACCATCCATCTGCTTGTTCAGTGAACCTGCATAATGGACTTCCACCCCTTCCGTGGTGATCAGGTACCTGTGTCAAAAACTACTCCAGCTGCTCCTCCCCTCTCCACTGAGCCGAGCAGAGGTTGAACTCATTTCTCTCCCCACTCAAGGTATGGGAGCATTGACTCGGGACCAGCTTGTAGTGTGTCTGCTCGTACTCCTACGGCCCATTTTGGGATACTGCAGTCAGTGTTTATTTTACAAAA